ACACACACACACACACACACACACACACACACACACACACACACACACACACACACACACACACACTGGCAGATATTGGGACAATGTGGCACCAGTGGGTTGAGCACTTTCCACTGCTTTAGGCCGTAACGTCACAGTGGATGAAGGTTTGTGGTAGTCAGAGGTTTCTGCTCATTTAAACAATAAAGTTTATTTTCAATATAAATCTTCATGACTCATTTATTTTGTTTTTTAATTAGCGGGTCAATTTGACCCAGAACAGAATAGGTGTCTCAAGTTCAATTATAACCATTACTTATAGAAAAAAATCTATTTAAAGAATATTAGGAAAACAAGTGAATTGTCCTCAGTGATCCTTTATCTGAAATGAAAAAAAAAATCAATTCACAAATATTGATTGAAATTGTTAGTAATGGAGTTAATAATCAGATCTAAACCTGTTTTAGGGACTTTTTTTGTTTGTTTTGTTTCAGACACTATAGCATGATTAAACATGCCCCGGGTCAAATTGATCCAGGAACATTATTGCTGTTCCTCAGAAACAAACATAACAGGAGGGTTAAAATGTTTAATTTCTCTGTAGCTTGTGAAGAAAACACCTCTGCATTACTTTAAAAACTTTTAATCTTTATGAAGGGATGATGGTTGAGTGTTCCAGTCATGGCCTGCTGTAAAAGACTCTTGAAATACAATGAATATATCCTTAACACAGATTCAGAACTCAATCCCTCCTGGTTTAATAAGTTAAATTATAATGGTTTTGTTTGTTTTTATGCGTTTTCTTAGGAAACATGATGGTTTAGTGGTTAGCAGTGTTGCCTCACAGTAAGAATGTCCTGGATTCAGACTTACTGTGTGAAGTTTCGTGTTTGTGTGGCTTTTGTCCAGCTACTCTGGTTTCCTTCCAGTCTAAAAACATACAGCTAAGGCCTCCCTTACAGAGAGCTGTGAGATCTGATTGGTTAATTAATAAATAACTTTGCTGCCACAGTATGACATCACTTAAAGGAGCCTCTGGCACCTCCACAATTTTAGMTTTCAATTTGAGACTTGGACTCCGCCAAGGCTGCCCTTTGTCACCGATTCTGTTCATTACTTTCATGGACAGAATTTCTAGGCGCAGCCGAGG